AACAATCATGGACATTAATATCCCTCAATGTCAATGGTCTTAACCTGCTTATAAAAAGACACAGACTAACAGAATGGATACGATCCTTCTGCTGTTTACAAGTAACACACCTCAACTTCAAAGACAGACGTTACCTAAGAGTAAAGGGTTGGGAAAAGATTTTCCAATCAAATGGGCCCAAGAAACAAGCTGGTGTAGGAATCCTAATATCTAACAAATTAGACTTCAAACTAAAATCAATCAAAAGAGATGAAGAAGGGCATTTCATACCCACCACAGGAAAAGTCCATCAAGAGAAAGTCTCAATCCTAAACATCTATGCCCCAATTATGAAGGCACCCACATTTGTAAAACAAACATTACTAAAGCTCAAACCACACATAAAACCACACACACTTATAGTAGGAGACTTCAACACCCTGCTTTCACCACTATACCGGACCACCAGACAGAAACTTAACAAAGAAACAAAGGATCTGACAGAAGTTATGACCCAAATGGTTTTAACAGATAGCTATAGAACATTCCATCCAAACACAAAAGAATATACCTTCTTCTCAGTGCCACATGGCACCTTCTCTAAAATTGACTACCTAGTTAGCAACAAAGCAAACCTCCACAGATACAAAAGAATTGAAATAACCCCCTGTATCTTATCAAATAACCATGCTTTAAAGTTAGGATTCAACAGCAATACAAATTTCAGAAAACCTACAAAATGAATAACAATTTATTATTATAAATAAATATAATCGAATAACAACCAATTGCACCATTCCTGGGTTGAGGAAGAAATAAAAAAGAAATTAAAGACTTCCTAGAATTTAATAAGAATGTAGACACAACATACCCAAAATTATGGGACACTCTGAAAGCAGTGCTAAGAGGAAAGTTCATAGCACTAAGTGCCCACATGAAGAAACTGGAGAATAGTCACATTAGAGAATTGACAGAACAACTGAAAGCGTTAGAGCAAAAAGAAGCAAACTCACAATGGAGGAGTAGACGCCAGGAAATAATCAAACTCAGGGCTTAAATCAATAAAGTAGAAACTAGGAAAATATTACAAAGTATCAATAAAACAAAGAGTTGGTTCTTTGAGAAGATCAACAAGATAGACAAACTTCTATCCAAAATAACCAAAAGGCAGAGAGAGAGCATGCTAACAAACAAAATCAGAAACGAAAAGGGGGATATAACAAAAGACACTGAGGAAATCCAGAGAATCATAAGGTCATACTTTGAAAACCTGTACACCACAAAATTTGAAAATCTAAAGGAAACAGACAATTTTCTGGATAGATGTCACTTACCAAATTTAAGCCAAGAACAGATAAGCAGGTTAAATCCACCTATAACCCCTAATGAAATAGAAGCAGTCATCAAAAGCCTCCCAACCGAAAAAAGCCCAGGGCCAGATGGCTTCACTGCAGAATTTTACCAGAAATTCAAACAAGAGCTAATACCAAGACTCCTGAAATTGTTCCACACAATAGAAGCAGAAGGGACATTGCTAAACTCTTTTTGTGAGGCTACAATCACTTTGATACCCAAGCCAAACAAAGATACAACTAAAAAAGAGAACTACAGACCAATATCCCTCATGAACATCGATGCAAAAATACTCAACAAAATTGGCAAATCGAATCCAAGACCACACCAGAAAAATCACCCACTATGATCAAGTAGGCTTCATCCCAGGGATGCAAGGATGGTTCAACATACAAAAATCCATCAATGTAATCCACCATATAAACAAATTGAAAAAGAAAAACCACATGATCATCTCACTAGATGCTGAAAAAGCCTTTGACAAAATCCAACATCCCTTCATGATAAAGATCTTGGAGAGAACAGGAATAACAGGAACATATCTAAACACGATAAAACTAATATACACCAAACAACAGCCAACATCAAACTAAATGGAGAAAAACTCAAAGCGATTCCTCTAAAATCAGGAACAAGATAAGGCTGTCCACTCTCTCCATATCTCTTCAATATTGTACTTGAAGTTCTAGCTAGAGCATTAAGACAAGAAAAGGAGATCAAAGGGATACAAATTAGAAAGGTAGAAGTCAAATTTTCACTATTTGCAGATGGTATGATAGTCTACATAAGTGACCCAAAAAACTCTACCAGGGAACTCCTACAGCTGATAAACACATTCAGCAAAGTAGCAGGATACAAAATTAACTCAAAAAAAAAAAAATCAGTAGCCCTACTATATACAGATGATTAATGCAATGAGAAAGAAATCAGAGGAATATCACATTTCACAATATCCACATGCAACATAAAATATCTTGGGGTAACTATAACCAAAAAAGTGAAAGACCTGTACAGTAAGAACTTTGAGTCTTTAAAGAAAGAAGTTAAAGAAGATACCAGAAAATGGAAAGATCTCCCACGCTATTGGGAGTAAAAATGGCAATCTTGCCAAAAGTAATCTACACATTCAACACAATCCCCATCAAAATCCCAACACAGTACTTCACAGACCATGAAAGAACAATACTCAACTTTATATGGAAAAACAAAAAACCCAGGATAGCCAAAACAACTCTGTACAATAAAGGATCTTCTGGAGGCACCAACATTCCTTACTTCAAGCTCTATTATAGAGCCATAGTTCTGAAAAAAGCTTGGTATTGGCACAAAAATA